TACAAATTTATGTTTTTTAAATGAAACACCACATGTTTTTTGGCATTTTTGGATGCAGCTTTTAATTTCAATTTTTTTAAGCTAAACTTCCATTTTGCTTAGTTTTTGAATCAAGTTGATTTTTTGGCAAAAGCATTCTCTTTTTAAAAATGATTACACAAAAAGTTAAGAGTTGGAGAAAAAAAATTACCACTATAAAGAGGAAAGTACGAACTTTAGGACTATAACATTTTTTTAATGTATAGTAGTTTATTAATTGTAGACTCTTAAAAGTAAATGTTTATTAAAAGTAAATGATCATTAATTTCTAAGAGGCAAAAACAAAAAATAGCGTGTTCCATTTAATTATTTTTTTTTCTTTTTTAGTTTTTAACAAACTTCGATATTTTTTTAACTTTGCGACTGCAATACATTAAAAAATTGTTATAGTCTTAAAGTTTGTACTTTCCTTTATAGAGTGGTAATTTTTTTCCACTTGTCTTAACTTTATGTGTAATGAATCTTTAAAATTTAAAAAAGAGGATGTTTTCGCCAAAGAAAAAACAATTTAATTCAAAAACTAAGCAAAATCGACTAATAGAAGTTTAGCATTGAAATTAAAAGCTACATTCAAAAATGCCAAGTAACGTATGGTGTTTCATTTAAAAAAAAAACATAATTTTGTATAGTAACTTATTTTTGGGCCATCCTGTATAATCAAAAATATTTTCCTGAAACGCCCTTTAGAATAAATAAAGTCTATAAAATAATATCAAAATACCGTCTTAAATAATAACTGAGCTACAGAAGACCAGAGCTGACATAAATCACCCTGTAAATGTACACCAATAGAAATCTTTCTGAAAAAGTACACCACTTGTATGTACTATAAGCAAAATTTTAAAAATTCTGAATAGAAAATTAATTTTATTAATGTTTTCTCTTGCAAAACAGTGTTGTGTATTGCTTTTGAGAGAAATTGAAAAAAATTGGTTTGACAAGTCCTTTATTTAATGGCATATTTTTTGGGTTAGTAGTAGTTTTGAACAAGTAAATTGTGAATAACTTTCTGAAGTTTTTTTGCAATAATTTTTTTTTTTGGAAAATTAGGACCAATTTGTTATTATTAGAAGAATTTGAGGCAACGTCAAAAAAATTATTTTAAAAACAGCAAATTTTTTGAACGTTTTGGACAAACTATAAAAAGTTATAAAAATATTTTTTATGTGTTTTTCACCCAAGTTATTACTTACCTACTGTCTTTTTTAAAATTGTTATTAAAAAAAATTGTTATTAAAAAAATTTATTTTAAAAACTAAGCAAATTTTTTGAACGTTTTGGACATCCACTGTAAAAAGTTATACAAATATTTTTTTATGTGTTTTTGACCCAAGTTATTACTTATCTACTGTCCTTTTTAAAATAGTCTATAATAATTATGAATAAATTCGGCTTTCTACCTATTACTTGAAAATGGTTCATTTAATCATAATTTGTCAACAGACAAAAATTGAGTTAATATTGTAATTAGTATTTTTAACTAAAAACATTTTAATTTTAAAAGAGGCTACTTTATTAAATTTGTGGCGTCTATAAGTTTTTATTAATTTAAATTAATTAAATAAAAGTAATTTGAAAAATAACAAATATTTTTCGTGTTATTTGAAAAAAAAATTCGCTTTGGAACGCAGTACTGCAGCAAAATATTGTTTTTATTCAAAAATATCCATTTTGTGGCGTTATAAAAATAAAACGTGCCGATATTTCTTGATTTATCAAAGAAAAAGGTCTATTATTTACCCACTTGGTGGCAAAACGCAGTGGTTAGATTGAAAATAAATATTTAAGGCAAATAAAGCACATTGTTAGTGGCCCTAACCCATTTTACCGTGAGCGATAAACTTTTCTGATTAGATTTTGTAGACACAGTGCGAAAAAATATTTATTTTTTCGTAAAATTCAGTGGCTTCATTACGTTAGTTAAAACTTTGCGTATCGGATTAAATGTCAATTATCGTCAATTAGGGTCCATGCGACGCAATTTTTTTCCAAAACGTTTTATTCTGAGGGTGCATAATTACGACAAAATTAATATTATTGAATATGGTCTTAAATTAATAATTCCATTGTTTACCCGCTTTCAAACACGTTTCCATGGAACTTCCTAATCAAGAGAAATTAATTAATTCTGATCAAAATTCAGCATTTGGTTGCGGTTGAAATATCGCAATGTCTTGAATAGTGGCTGAAACAACGCTAGGAAAAATCAATACGAATATTGATTCTATTTAGAGTGAGCAAATGAAGAAGTTTGCATTTTATACCTCTTGTAAATTACAATGTCACATGCATGAGCCATGTGGAGTGGAAACCCGAATAAATTTATTTAATTGAAGGCAAATGTTGTTAATCAAATTGTCACTTTGTGTTACTGGAATTTTGAACAAAAATATTTCTTTACGAAATAATTTAATAAACCGCTTTCAAGCGCTAACGATATTTATCTACCACCTGATAGTTCCACTTTTATTCCCAACACAAGAATGACTTACAATTTGCTCATAAATAAAAAACAAATAACTTTTCTAAGATTTTCACACTCTAATGTTTTTGCTGTTTGTAATAATCAACATTATTACAAAAGTGAATTTATTAAGGCTTTGTCCAATTTATTTATTATTGAATTTTTAGTCTACAAAAAAATACAGGCTGCGCCAAAACTCGCACCCTAGAGAAAAATGTCATGTAAGGTAAGATCCCAGGAACATGGAAAAAAAGTTAAAATTTTTTTATCTTTTTTTAAGAATTTTAAGAATTGTAACCAATTTCTAAACCATTGAAGAAGTGACTTGAATTGGTCAATTGGAAATAGCACAAACTGCTTCATTTCAGCCTCAAATTGAGATTACCTAAAGCAATTATTTTTATAAAATACATTAATTTAGAATTAATTCTGTATTAAAATCGAGAAAAATTGAATTGAAAATAGCTCAAATTGCTTTATTTTGGAAGAAAACTCTTATTCAAGCTATTATTTTGTTGAAATACTTTGATTCAGGTTGATTTCCGGCTTAAAATTGAGCCAAATCAATTGAAAATATCACAAATTGCTTTGTTTCAGCCTAAAATTAAGATTGAAGCAATTATTTATATAAAATACATTAATTTCGAAATAATTCTTTATTAA